AAATTTCAACTGGCTTCCTTGCCATTCGACACATGTGAACAACAGTGTTGATCTCCTACGTCAACGAAATAGCCTGGTCTTTGATTTTAATCTCTGTCGTTTAAAAGGTTAAGAAGATTAATCATTGTAGTCGAGAATTTATATTTGATAAGTTTTATTTACAACAATCGCCTTGGTTCGTTAAAATCACACTGGCAATAGCCGTGTAATTGCGAAAATTAGACGAATCGAGCACTTCACCATCATCAAAGAAATCTCTTGGTGGAGAAAAGTATCCTTTTCCTCAATTGTGTTCGTCATTGAAAAATGAGCCCTTCGTTTACTTGACCGACACTGTTTGGTTTACTTTTTAAAATATTCAACAAAGTTCCATGAGAAAATGTGTTCCAATTAGTCATTCATCGAAGTCAGTCTTCACTTTAATATTTGTTCTTAATCTCTACAAAACTTGTCTAAATCATGTACAGAGAATCTTAACCACGTCAGTTTTATTCTTCAATCATGTAAAATAATTTTTCTCTTTCAAGCTCAAATAAAGTAATTTTCTAAGGCATAAAATACGCGTCTAAATTGATAAAATCCAACAAAAATAACTTATATTTAAAAACCGATGAAAATCTGTAAATATCAAAAAATTTCTATCGATGAACATCAATTTTTTCTCGGTCATCGATAAAGACTTGTGAAATGGTGCTCACAGCATGTAGGACCATCGGTTTTTCAGGAAAAAGGCGATGACATCAATTATTCTGAGATGAAATGCGTTTTTATCTGTAAAAAAGTCATTTCACCTAAAACAGCGTATTATTTTAGATGAAAAGTTTAATTTCGAACCACACGGGTAACCTTTTTCGTTTAGCTATGAGATAAGAGATGCATCAAGGGCAAGATGTGTTAGTATGGTAAAGAAACCATGTCTGCTCTTTCACTGAAGATAAGAATAAATGCTTCGTATGTTTGCATTGCACTGTGTGCAGTATTACTGACGATCACATCTTGACATTTAATTTGAAGCAGGAGAGTCATTTACAGTCGAAGAATTTGGGATGTCGCTGAATAAAATTAAACAAGTTCGGGTCATATTAAATGTCTTACCATCAAACTAAAAATTTCAAAATACGAGCTGCTGATGGTGTGCACGAACCGAGATATTCGAGTTTTATGGAATTCATAACTTATTTAATATGCTCAAGAGTCAACATTTCAGCAGAACTCATTGTTTCCTTTTTCTTGGTGATAAGATAGAGCTCATCGAGTTGCATTTCCAAATATGTATTTCAAACTTGAAAATAAAACAATTTTATATGAGAATGATGATATCCTACAATTTTCGTAAAATTGACTTTTTCAAATTTAAAGCACATATTTGCTTATGCAACTTGACGAGCTCTATCTAATCACTAAGGAGAAAGAAGCAATAAATTCTGCTGAAGTTTTGAATTTTGGACATTGTAAATACGTTGTAAATCCGGTAACATTCGAATATCTCTCTTCATGCACGTCATTAGCAGCTCATATTTAGATGTTTCTAGTTTTTGGATTAGACATTTAATCTGATCCGAACGTACCTAACTTTACTAACTGGCATGACGAATATCTCTATTTTTAGATAAACATTGTGACTTTTACAAGAGATTGAACCAACTGGATCGTTGATTTTGCTCCAAGCAAGCGAAGGGAGGTACGCTTCGGGCTATTTCTGGTGGATCATCATGCTTGGAGTATATGGCGAGAAAATTATGTGAACTCTTTGATCCACCCCACAGACCATAATAAAAATCCTTCTATGTGCTTTTCACGGCCTCTGACACTTAAAGACTTCTTGGTACATTGATTTTTAGTATATTCAGAGCTCTAAATGACGTGGCAATACTCTTCAGTTATGCGCGACTCGGCTCTATTGTACTACATACCTACTGTTCGTTTCAAAATAAAGTGACCTTCACTGTATTTTGAATAACTCAACAGCGCAAACAGCTAGAAACCTACGATTTTCACCAATCGAAAGAGAAGACAACAGAATGTCTTTTTTTCAATATTGTATAAGACGAAATCACTTTAAAATCAGCCATTTCTGCAAAACATTGCAAAAATGTAGAACACGGTATATCATTCAGATGAAATTTTGACAAATAGTAAGAAAATATGCTTAAAAATTGAAAGAAATTTGTAGTTTTCGTGAGATTGAATAGACGATTTTGTTTGTTCAACATTAAGATATGGGAAGATAATCGTTCCAATTATATCTTGAACTATAGATCTGAAGTCTCTCTTGCTAAATAACATGTCAAAACCAAAATTTTCATCAGAATGATAGATTGTTTTCATGAATTTTTTGTAATGCTTTGCCGAAATGACTGATTTTAATGTGATTTCATCTTATACAATATTTTTAAAAAAGACATCCATATGTCTCCTCTTTCAATTGGTAACAAGTGCAGGTCTCTAGCTGTTTGCGTTCTTGAATTATTCAAAAACCAATGGAGAGCGCTAAATTTTGAAATAGACAATATATTCTGCAGGGTTTTTATTGGAAGATCTTATTAAGAAAGTATTTCGTCACATATACACCTTGAAAACCTACACTGAAATAAAGATTTGAAAAGACGGTGTTATCTAGTTAGAAAGGGAGAGTGCACCAATTTTACTTTCGCGTTTTATTTTTTGACAACAAGATAAGTTTGGAGACAAGAAAAGTTGAAACGATTTTTATGTCGAGAGAGCCGTTAGGTCAATCAATTTCTATCAAGACAAGTAGCATTGATATGAAGCTACCACGAACACAAATCAGAACACAGGAAGGGTTATCCAATCAATATCAATCCACATTTTACCAACTACCATACAACGAAAATGACAATTCTATGAAAGAAGACAGTCTTTAAAATTCTTGATCCACATAGAGACTATGTAAACGAGACATCAAACGAAAAAATTATTATTAACCGTTCCAGATTTTTCCAGATATACAACAGTGACTTCACATTAAACTCAGCAATGAACCCTCAAAAGGATAGAAGCAAAAAATTCAAACACTAAAATGGATGTGAGAATTCCTGGATGATCACACATTCCAGCATTACCCAAACCCTGAACTTTGGAGTCTATTAGGACACAAACAACTGTCTGTCGATTGATATGTATTTCCTACCCGTTGCAAACGATACACGTGGAGATTTGATCAATTTTTGACAGATGACTACAGGTTTCCTAGAGATCCCATATGTTTTTGACCCATTAATGCTTCGAGGATCATTGGTAACAAGATATCGAATATACCAACGTGTTCGCCATGGTACTGCCTATCGATTGATATGTATTTCAACCGGTTTCAAACAATAGACAAGCGAGCTATGATTAATTTTTGACACACAGTGACAATTTTTTGAGAGATCGGATGCGTTTCTGACTGACTGGAGCTTTTAGGATCATCATGGGACCCCTATTATTTGTTCAAGTAATGATACAGTGGTGGGGTACCTTTCACAATTCAACATTGATTGACGTTGCATTCATGGTTCCCTAAAAAAATGAATATGGTCGCCTGTGTGCGCTCCCTATCGTTTTAGATAGTTGGCTGGCAGATAGCAGCCAATGTAATTTTCTCCACAATCATGGTGACGTATCGTGTTGTGGCAGCGTCGCATCGATACAGGGACTTGTAGAATTATAGAGAAGGTTTAGCTAAAATTTTATCTTCTTTTCAAGAGTGGCACAGATACGTATCAGCGCATTTATAATGAATTTTTTCGATATATCAGTAAAGCTTTACAGAGTACAACAAAATTATAGATCCCGTTTTATTGTTGAAATTTTTCAACAAAACGAATTATTAGGCCAAATCTAAACAGTAATTCGGATAGCCTTTAAAATTTTCTATCGAATATAGTACAGATCAAAATTTCAAGAGAAACTCTGTGAAGAGAGTTTTCTAGAAAACCGATCCACTGAAATTTCATGCCCTATAGGAGTTTCATAAAAATATTTTTAAATATAGTCGCCTGAAGGAGCAAGAAATTCTGAGCAAAATGAGGGGTCGCCCAGCTTTCCACAATATTTCGTTGCAAAGTTATAAGCATCAGAAAACTTAAAACATTGCATAATTTATCAAAAAACAGGTAAAAATAGGCTAAAAACAATTTTTTTTCGATTTTCTGGTACTAATAACTTTGCAACGAAAAGTCGTGAGCAGCTGGGCGATTCCTGATTTTGCTTAAATTTTTTTTCCTCTTGCAGATGACTATATTTTAAAATATTTTTGTGAAACTCCTGTAGGACATGAAATTCCAGTGGATCAATTTTCTGGAAAACTCTCTTCACAAAGTTTCTTTCGAAATTTTGGTTCATACCGCATTCGATAGAGAATTTCAGGGACTATCCAAACTACTATTTATATTAGATCTAGTGATTCGTGTTTATTGAAAAATTTCACGAATAAAAGAGGGACTATAATTTTATTAGACCCTGTTTATGCAAAAGCAATGTTCTTGGTAAAGTGGCAATCATATCCGCTAAACTTTGACTTTCTCTAGCCGTTGGATATATTTTGATTTAGTCCACGGATACTGTATTAGAAGAAAAGAAAACTCATGGAAAAGACACATATCGTAAGTTATATAGAAATCTTCGTGTTTCACCGTTTCTTGACTCTTAGAGAAAGCTTTCCCACTGCAGGTATCTGTCTTGTTTTAGCTTTCATAGAACATTTCTTTACGTACTGGTTGTGAGAAAAAATTATGGAAAGGTGTTCATATTTTTATGTGATTCATTTATAACTCTAAACTAACTCTTGTTTTTTTGGTTTAGTTTGGTATGTCGTCAATATTAAACAAAAGTCAGTATATTCGTGATGTTGCTGAATCTAATTTTACTACGTAAACAGCAAGCAAAAAGAATAGATTTATTCGCTGCTGATCAGTAAATAGTTGTAAATTTATTTTGATTTATCGAGCGATGCTAGAAAAATCATTGGCACACCCACATTCACTATTTTGCTATTAATGCTTTTTGATTTTTGTATAGCTCATAAATTTTATCTACTAACGATTGGTGCCGCCGGTTTGTACTTCATTATCAAATATTACAGAAGAAAGCGATTGGAACGTAATGAAAGAGTATGTTTCACTTATCTAGTATCTTGGATGTCCTTGTCATGATTCATGTTTTTTAGATAAATGGTTATTTGGAATGCCGTTCTCTTGATGATTTTGAACATTTAGCTAAAAAAATACTATTGCCCCACCGTTTCAATTATTTTAGTTATCAAGTTGGCTATGGTTGCACATATCAGGCTTCTCGAGAATATTTTAATCGACGTTTGAGAATTGTACCAAGAGCGTTAACTGATGTGAGCGAAATATCATTACAAACAACAATATTCGAGTATGAATGCCATTTTTAATTGAAAAAAATGCATCGTCTTATGCACTGATTCTTCCTTTCTATTTAGTCATACATATAATAATCCAATAATTATAGCACCAACAGCATTTCATCGTCTAGCACATAATGATGGTGAATGGGCTACGGCACAAGGTGCAACAATTGCGGAATCAATTTATATATATAATTGGACTTTATCGACTGTTTCAGTAGATGATGTGCTAAAAACAAAAGGTGAGCTCACAGATAAAAAGTATTACTCATGTGAATATATGACACCCGCGAAAAGACTTATTAAAAATGAGAAAAGTTTGATAAATTGTTTGGTTTGAACCAGTTTAATCATACATTAACCCTCTCGTTATCTAGTAAATTTCACTTCAGAAGAAAAGCTGTTCAATTCTGCATAGTTGCGATTTGTCACGATCATATAGGCTTCAAAAAATTACTCTTTTTCTTTACATAAATAATGGAGCACACAGCACTGATGCATATTTAAAAAATTAGCACTTTCCGTAAAAGAGAACGTAAGAAGAACTGTTTGAGCATTCAATTTTCTGTCAATTTTGGCGTTTCTTTTGAGCTCTCTTTCTTTTTCGATTCCTTGGGAAAAGTTTCATGATCATGACACTCGAAGATGATAAATTATCCTTTTGAAGTTGGAAACAAAACGATTATCAAGCAAATAGATCAAAAGTAATTTTAGTACTGCGACATATGGACTTACCAAATATCCTAGTAGAGACAATGGATTTGCACAGCACCTCAATGACAACTTTATAAGAAAATCTGACTGAAAAAGATAATGGAAACAGATATTATACATCAGAATACGGAATGTAACATCGTCCACTAGTAAAAAGAGCTAAAGTTGGTAGATGAATCCATAAACTATTGACTAGATGTAGTCAGTCTCATCTACTAAGCGCAAAGGAAGTGAACAATTGATGCTAGGTAACGAGTGGTAACTTTTCTACTCTGTTGTTGATAGATCACACCATACTCAAGCGGAGGTGAAAGTTTTCATAAGCCTCCCGGATACACAGTACAAAATGTTGTGCTGACCACTGCCAAAGAGAGGACCAAACAAGCAGTACGCCAAAAAAGTTTGTCACGATTTGTAGAATTGGTTTCGACGAATAGATTATAGGGGAGGAGGGAGGGAGTGGGCGAAGGCTCACTTGTCTCGCCATATCCTTGAAGAATGAAAACAAAAAGGTACTGTATGAAACTTACCACGACTCCTAATTTTTTTATCGAAATCGAGACGTTTTTTCAAAGCTTTGTAAAATAAAATTTCTTACAAAACCAGTTTCAATTGGTATCAGAAAGGATTCCGTAGTTCAAATTTTGTACGGATTCTAATTGTAGGTGACACTTTATCTTAAGTTCACTAGGTAAAGTAAAGTAAAGTCATACACTGTATATCAGTTTGATGGAAATTTTGGTTGTTTAGCATCGAAACTTGACGATGGTAAAATATATAAAAGCGTATTTGAAATTATTTACGTCTTCAGAATGGATAAATGGAAATAAGGTGATACTGAAAAATCAATAATCCTTTTGTCTATGTATGATCCAAAACTTCAGGAAGTCTTTCCACACTATGAGTAGCAGTTCATCTTTATGATTCCAACTCAGCATAACATCTATACTTTCTCTCGATGAGCTTGAGACTCTTTTTCGGAAAATGAGTAATAATGCTAATTTATTGTACTTATAATTATTTAGCGATTTCTTACACATGGTTATGCATTGTCGTTGAAGATCATAGATTTTTATCAAGATTTTTTTCCATTTTAAATCTGCACAAATCAAATTGTGCACTAATTAAATGAGCACAAATAGATTCTTACTAAACTTATATTAATCCTACATAATTGTTATATATGGTTCTGCTTCAAACATACTTATAAGGAACTTTGACATCGGGAAAAAGGGACTAAGCACCCATAGTATCTCAATTTAATGAATTCAGCAGCCGTCGTCTCTGGTGAAATTTCCAAACCGTATGCATCAGGGTGTGGGCGTGGATATGGATGGGTGTCGATGTGTATGTTAGGTTTAAAAAAATGCTTAGACTAGAGTTCAACATGGGTTCAACGTTTGGAGCCCGAGCTCGATCCGATCCAACTGGAAATACTTAGCAGTCTATTTATGTTCGATTCATTGTTTTCTCCGAGTATGATTATTGGATAAAAATAGAAATTTTCATGAAGCTACAACATATATTTATCAAAAGAGAACATCCAGAGAGGTCAATTACTTCTACAGCAATATAGAACTTTATTGCTCTGGCATGCAGCGTCAGCAAATTCTTCAAGATTTGCACAGATTATTTAATCAGTCTAGTACCGGCGAGTCGAATCGGGTTGCAGGAATCTAACTTGGACGCATAACTGCAGCCGCCCCATATGCTCATTAGATTAGTGCTGGTGAGCATTGAAAAGTTTAAAATGATTTGACTCTCAAGGCTTTCTTTTTTATAATATCGATTTTGTGCTTAATTTTGCAACAAAAATTCGTAGACCCCTTCAGATCACGCTGAAACTTGACTTTGAGTTTCAATTTGAAACTTTTCACAAATAAAGCTCTCAATTTAAATAGCTTTTATGAAAGTTTCAGCTTTTCTTCTTGCTTCTATCGTGATATACGCATATTCAAAATTTCGCTGGTTGAAAAACAAATTTTGTTCTTATGTTGGACTTTCACGATAGAAGCAACGAAAACAGCTGCAACTAAGAGTGACAAGTTCCGTTGTGAGCATAATTTGTGCAAAGTTTCAAGTCACAACTTAGATGTCAACTTTCAACGTGACCTGAAAGAAGGGTGTGGGTGTGGGTGTTGGTGTGGGTGTGGGTGGTGTGGATGTGGGTGTGGGTGTTGGTGTGGGTGTGGGTGGTGTGGATGTGGGTGTGGGTGTTGGTGTGGGTGTGGGTGGTGTGGATGTGGGTGTGGGTGTGGGTGTGGGTGGTTGTGGGTGGTGTTGGTGTGGGTGAAGGTGAGGATGTGGGTGCTGTGTGTGGCTGTGAGTAAAGATAACAATAAATCTCATCCACACCCACACCCACACCCACACCCACACCCACACTCACACCCACACCCACACCCACACCCACACCCACAGCCATACCCACACCCATCCACACCCCGATACTAGTAGCATCCCTGATGATGCTCGTAGAATCCTGGTGTTTCAAAAAAAAAAACAAACAAGTCCACGAATGACTCATTTGACCAACAGCTCCAGGTCAAGGGAACAGAAGTCGTCTACCAGCTGTTTGACTCAGCTTTCGTGACCTTTGGAGTTAGATCTGTCACACGCATAGTGTTGATATGGGTCTGAGCCTGGCTGTGGAATGTATTGCTTCTCTTTAACCATACCCACATCCTCCGAACTGGCCGATCCGCCATTTACTCACAGAATTACAAAGCCTCCTTCACAGGTAAAAGCCCTACCCCAGCACATTTTTGCGTGCAAGTATCGTGCAACAACCGTTGAACCACTGTTTAAGTAAACTTATCTCTACTGCCTCTAATTAGATTCCCTTGATTGATCCTTCAAACATACAAATTAACTCATAAGTTACTTTTTTTTGTTACTTTAGGTCCAAAATGGCTACATGTTTATTTATCATCTCCAAAAACATTATTGGAACAATCAATATTATTGGCTGAACAACAGTCATTCAAAGCTATTGTTGTTACATGTGATCATCCACACGATCGAATTAGATCAATTCATAAAGCAGCGTTTATTCAAGCGACTGATCGTGAACAAGATAAGGAATTGACAAAACTAATGTACTTGCCTAATACTAGACAGGAGAGTATACGGACTCAACAGAGATTAGATGAGCATACACCAAACGAAAAATTAACGTGGAAGGAATTCCAGTGGTTAAGAACATTAACAAAATTACCTATAGTTTGTAAAGGAATTTTATCTGTAGACGATGCAAAATTAGCTTTAGAATATGGTGCTGATGGAATTGTGGTCAGGTAAGTCAAAGTTTAGTTATGACCCTAAAACTCTGGTACCATTCCCTTATAGTAATCATGGTGGTCGCCAGGTAGATAGTGGACTATCAGCTATTGAATGTTTAAAAGAAATCGTAGAATTCGTTAATGGTCGTTGTGAAGTGTTTATTGATAGTGGCATACGAACGGGAACAGATGTGTTGAAATGTTTAGCTTTGGGTGCTAGAGGTGTTCTTATTGGTCGTCCTATTTTGTATGGTTTGGCATGTGGAGGGCATAATGGGGTGGAAGCGGTACTTAATTTATTAAAGCGAGAATTGATGTACGATATGGCTAGTTGTGGTCTAACAAGAATTGAGCAAATCAATGAACGAATACTGTATAAACATCGTCAATGACGTTTTTTTGACTCTCCAAGATTTTGAAAGATTCGAACTCTTTTATTATCAAATAGCTACTATTGTATGTATTATCTTCTTTTTTATTTCAAATATAGCTCTTTATTAAAGACTCAATGTTGTTACTATTAGTAGAGGTGGATCATTAGTCTTAGCAAAACTCAGTCGCTAAAACCAAATAAAAACTGAACACTTTGTGACTAGCAAGGAAACATATTCGAGTGTACCCCAAAGAGGAAAGCAGACTTCTATACTTTAGAAGTACTTTAAACTGCGATGAAATATATATATATATGTACACAAGTATACTTTGAAGTTCCTTCATATTTATTTTTCAAGAAAAACCTAAACACGTGCAGTTTCCCTGAACTCTTTAATGATAAATCATACGGGTGCTCGCTGACGTACTTGTCACGGTTCACTTCATGTACACTATCCTCTTCGTTATATTCAGTGTTCGCTTGATGACCTTATGGCTATCTCTCATTGTTCTATTGAGTGGCCGCTTCCTCTTCGTTGCTTTTCGCTCATGCGTGATCGCTCTCTCTTCTATATAAGTTGATGTAAACGAAGGAAGGGCACGACTAGAGATATGTCGATGACAAAATACACCATCGTGCCGACGGGCATAAGCAACACACTTTCTCCGTTCGCCACAATACTGACGACATTGTCATCAGTTTTATCGGCACTGTGAGTAACATAGCACTGACATTCACCAACTACATTTATCAGTGTTCGCTGATTGACTGACACACACTATGACACCAATGCTCAGTGAAATAACTACGTTCCAATATTGGTTTCCGTGGACTGCAATCTATATCAGAATATTATGACATCTACTGAATATCATACATACATTCACAGAATAATGTCTTTGAATAAGTGTATAATAGTGTAGCGAGTTCTCAGACTTTTTTTCGAAAAAACTATGTCTATTTAGCATCCTAATATATTAACGACTGAATAGCTATTCTTTCTCTAGCTGCATAAACTACACAGGTGTGAGTGGATGTCGACTGGAGTGGGCATGAACTGGTGTGAGTGTGAGATGACAGCGTTGATTTGCATATCTGTTGAATGTTGGTGTAGGGAAGTCACTCGTAACCATCATTACACACGTTCATATCCCGGTCCTCACCCAGTCAAACTCCAAAAACCCACGGCTCATGCGCACTAATTCAGCATATACATATTATTTGTCAATGTCAGCTTTTTATTTTTGAACTTCGGCGCATCTTGTTAAGTTTTCAAATATAAAATTGACAGTGGTAAATTAAAACCCGACCTAAGGCTAGAGGTCAAATAGCTTTCTGGAGTAAACACTACAAAACATATGTGCTGCAGCATGTCACAATGATTAACATAAAATTCGCTAGCTTATATGATTTCAAGGATGAGAATTAACTTTGTGATTTTAAATCGAGTTAAGGAACGCTCATCTTCTTTATACGAAACCAGTAGGACCATTTATTTATGGTAGAAATGGACAAATATGCGCATAGCTGAGTATAAACGAGGGTGTGATCTTCAGATTCTCATTGCAGCCCTAAATAAGTACTTTATATAGATTTAAAATTTTAGGATTTTTACATTTATAACTAGCCTTGTGTATGTCTTAAATACTTCGCCAAAAGTATAGTTGGGCATGATGTATCAAGATAGAAAAGAAAATGAATTTTTAATATAAGCAGTCATGATTAAAAAATGATGTTCATGTAGTAACACTAAAACTATTAATACTTAGAGATGACGCATTTCTGTTATATTGGCACTCTTACTCCAAAGTCTAGATTGTTTAAATTTATTTTATTTTTCGAAATGGCTGAAAAGTGCTCATCTCGCTACTTTGCGTTGGCGAATGTGAGTAAAAGTACAAAAAGAGTATATTTTGACAGATCCAATGCTTTAGTGCTCCAATGAGCATCGATACCAGTGTGACCATTGTTGACTGAGCTTCAGTGTTCAAGTGAGTTTTAGTGTGATCAGTGAATATCAGTGAATTCACAGTCTCGATAAAGCTGACGTCTGTACATTGAGTGTCAAAGAAGACTCAGTGTTGTTGAATCACTATCAGCATCTTAATGTTTCCACTGAAATAGTACATTTCTAGAAACATTTAATTTGAAGAAAGAATTAGAAGAGATTGTTATTCTCTTTACGTCATGTTTGGGTAACTCGAGAATGCCGATTATCTAATAAACATATATTTTTATCAGTGGATAACCAAAAAGCCAATTGTTGTAATATATATTTTTTATTATCATTAAATTTCACTTTAAAATAAGAAGCTCGCCAACATAGTTCATTTTCATCGCAAATTTGTGGAAGACTGCGGACGTGAATGTTCCTACACAGCGTCCACAGTCACATGAAGACAAGCATTCTTACTGTATTTGTTGTGTTTATTTTTTAGTAATACCAACTTCTATGTATTCGTATAGTTATCTTTGTCTCGAAGCTACTCTACTTAGGTATACTTTTCTTCTTCGATACTGTACATTATCTAATTAAGCAGCGATTAATATGACTCAGATAGTTCACAAAAGAATGGCCAGATTGGTTTTATAAAGCACTTCAGTACAATTCTATTTCTATTGATTTCTAATTTATAGAGATCGCCCTGTTTTATTTTCTATTTTCTTATGTATGACTCTATGTTATTCATATGTTTCAAGTGTTATTCTAATTGGAATATTCAAAATTGATGGAATAATATGAGCATTCATATAACGTGAAACTAGTAAAAAAGCTGTAAATGAGAGTAGTGCTAGGCAGAAATGCTACGAAGTACCAAGAAGTACAGAAGTCTACTTTTTTCCCCTTGAAGAACTGTCCATTATCTTTCTGTTGTCAATTTTCATATTACATGCTTCGGATAAAAAATTAAGAAATTGTATTAATAGTTATTTTAAACTCATATCTCTCATACTTTAAAAAATAAACTAATTCAAATTAATATTCAATGTTAGTGATGTTTTCACAATGGCCGTTCTTTTCAAAGTAAATCTCATAAGCAATAGAAATAAACTTATAGCGTAAGATAAAATTTACACCAGTTTTATTTTTTCAAAAGTCATTATTTATGTATGTATTTCAAAAAGAAAAGCTTAATTTATTCTTTTTCTATATAAATGTAATAGTAAATGCATAGTAATCAGTTTAGATAAATCTCAAAATATTAAATTCAATCAATTAATTAATCTTATTATTTAGTTAAAAACATGACGAGGATTGAAATAAGCGATTTTAACTATATTATGCAAAATAATCAAATATTTTTCCTTAGTAGGAAATTTTTCTCTGGTATGTTACGTGTTTGTAGGAAAGCAAAATAGCTTTCAAAACATGCTTATTTTACAAATCAAATCGATATGGTCCCAGAGGAATGCATATAAAATAAGATGCTATTGTCAATAAAATCAAACATCTAAGTGAGGCTTGCATTGTTCTATTATTTTTGTCTAGAAAATTTCTATGGATCTGAAATATGTACGACAATGAAAAGAAAAGAAATTATTACTAATTTGATTACCTTTTAAGCTTTCGAAAGTTGAAACATGATTCATTAGCATAACAAGTGTTCACCAATAACTTTCCTTTTTTTTCTACTGGTTAAAAGGATGACGGTTATATTCTTTTTCGTTGCGCAAAAAAATAATATATCTTCTCATTAGTGATCTGCATCACCATGGTATCTGGTCACGACGGCGCTACTGTCTACAGCAGAAGAAGTTGCTTGTGGCGCCGTCGTGACCAGTTACCATGGTGATGCAGATCACTACTTCTCATATGTCGATATTGTTTCTTTCTTTCCTGTTACATTTAGTAAATAAAAGTTGGTAATTTCCAACTTATGCACTATATATATATACACAAACGACAGTTGCTTCTATTTTCAAACTACGGTAAGTTTTACACTTTCAATATGTTGAGACTCATATTTATTTATTAGTTTTTAACAATAAACTATGGATCAAATATAAATGAATAATCATTAATTGATTTTCTTTGATTAATGTTAGTGTTTTTAATGACAAAGAAACCTAGATGTTGTATCGAGAGGCTTCTTATGTAATAATCATAGTTAGATGAGTGTTTTTGTACTGTAGAGTTTTCACATTCTCAGTTACACATAAAGTAAGGTTTGTGTGGCTTCTTTTCGAAATCATTTCTCAAGTAAACATGATTTTCATATGTCGATTTCTAAAAGAAATCTAGTTCGATAAAGGATTTGATGAAGAAAAATATTTATGCGGACTCTAGTTGAAACAACTTTAAACTATAAATATTTTGTTCATCGTCTAATCTATGTATGCCATTGAAATACTATACAGAATAATATTGTTTAATGATGATCTTATCATGAAAAAGTTCCATTTTCTCAAAGAAACATTCATCTCATTTTATCCTCGACACATTTTAATGGTTTCATCTTGTTCTTCTCTATTGATTATGTTAATTAGTGCAACTGACTAAAGTTTTCATCAATCTTTGAAAGTACAATCACTGGACGGTTACTATTGATCAATTAAGTGGTAGATATGTGATTAAACGTATTTAATGTCTGTATCCACGTAATCATGAAACACATTTTGACTCCTCTAAGAGCATTCTTGTTGCAAATGACGGTGTTTAAATGCAACTCACACTTAAATAGACTTCAAAGACCCTGAAATGCATTTATTGCAATTTTTTTCAAAACACGTATCTCATCATCTGTGTATATTGAGACAAGTTTTTGAAATAAGATGCATTCAGACAAGTTCAGATTAGCTATGAAATGCGTTTGAAGGCGAATGCTTTCATTTTTGTATCTGACTGCGCTTATAACAGTACACAATCTTCAGTTGAATGTGATGGCACACTCTCTATCAAAGACATGTAGTTACATGCACTTTTTATATATGTTCTTTGATACTCTTGACGTTGAGTTACCCGTCTGTACGCAGTCCGTCACTCCTCATTACATCATCAAGATGCATTTGAGCATGTTT